TAGTCGTTATTTATCTTATATATCATAGCTTCAACAAAAACCGAGTACCATACCATAGTAGTAGCTATATATTCACTGTTGCGAATTCATTCAAATTGGCAATTTACATAGATTTTGGCACGATTTTACATCCATAACTTGAGCTGCATGTTAGTCGTGTTATTATTTCGGGTGTTTTTTTCTAGGTTGGCATATACCAAACGAATTAATGATTTTTGAACATCAGCTAAGTACTTTAAGGATTTCATTGCAATTATTCCACACTACTATTCCCCATGCTCAGTTGAAAGATCGACTGCATCTTCTTGTAACACAGTATTATTTCTACAAAAAATGGAATCGTAGATACAAATTCCCGGATTAAGGTCATGAATAATCTTACACTTTGAAAAAAATTCATACAACAAATCTACCGAAAATGATATGAAAATGACGGAATTTGTTATCGACAAAATATATATCGAAATTGGTGGGGTGTTATTAATGACAGAAAGTTGGTACTCCAATGAGTACTATTTGTGCACTCCTACACTCATATTAAGCAGAATGCATGCTCACAAATCTTTCTCAGACAAAAAGAAACCTTGCAAAATTCTTTAAGCTCACATTCAGATACTATATGGACTGTATTAACAGACGTGTGTTTCTAAAACAAACACTATTCCTTCAGAGTAATGAGGAAGAAAGAATGAAATCGACATGTTATTAGTTTCACAGTCACCATTACCAGTTCGTTGACCACGATGAATTGATATCTGAACTTACTAGCGAAATGGTTTCAGTCTTAAATCTATCCGAGCTGTAAATACCAATTGAGTCCAATTTCCAATTGTGCCATTTCAAAACGTATGGATTCGCGTGGCGGATGATGCAGGCATAGCAGTAGACGCTTACCCCTGTCGGCGCATCCGGTCTCGCTCCATATGGCCTTAACGGTCATTTTGATCTTCATCTGCTTATTCTTAAACTAAAAACAGTTGGTCTTGTTAAGGGTTTTAAGTTATTTTTCGAACACCTCGGTTACAGTGAACCCAGTACTGTTCATTACCTTTTCCGACAATTCAGTATATTGTTGATTGCTACAGGTAAATAACAGCTACTGAAAAATCTGAACATAAATTGAAGAGCTTAATTGACTGTAAGCGTAGTCTATACCAGGCATGGGGCGAATTACATTGCAATGTAATGCATTATATTACAATTACTTTGACCAAACCATGCATTATATTACAATTACATGCATTTTCAAAGTAATGCATTATATTACAATTACTTTTGCAAAGTAATGCCTTGAATTACACATTACATTTGAAAATCTATGAAGTGAATAGAAAAATTAAACATCTTGAAAAACAACTAGAAGTCACAAAAGATTCTAGCATATGCAGCAACTGTTCCATGAATTGAATATAAGTATACATGTAAAAAGTCTATTTAATTCAGCTTTTACAATTTTAATTTAATGTTGACTTTACTTTTATAAATATATTCTTTGTTGTTTTTTTTTTTTATTTTAAACGAAATATTTAATTACTGTGAATTACTTCCCTAATTATAAAATAAACATAGACCTTACTTAGATGAACAATTGTCTAAATGGTGAAAATATTGATTGTAAAACAAACTAATTAGTGTTTTATAACAAAGTTTAATTATCTTTTATTTAAGCAAGACAAGATATTCTTTGATCTTATGACAACAATACAGTTATGCTTTTCAAATATCAATCTTTTTGTGCAGGAAAATGTATGAAATAAGATAAAATAAAGAATATATTCTCATGATTAACATATTCCTAGTTAATCAAGAAATCTTAAATTTGGTTTAGTTAAAACTCCAACAATATGTTAAAAATGTGGTATGTGAAAAAAGTAATGACATGAAATGCCATGTAATGGATGAAATTACACAACTTTTTGCTAAAGTAATGCATTATATTACAATTACATGTAATGCACAAATTGCTGCATTACACATTACATGCAATTACTTGGAAAAATGTAATGCATTACCATGCATTACAATTACAAATTTGCATTACCCCATGCCTGGTCTATACTATACTATATTTACCGCAGTGAACACGTCTGGAAGACTAAACATAACTTAAGAATGTATTGATCAGTCTTTAAAGAGCTGTTCAGATCAAAATGACAGTTATAGTTCAAAATGGGTACTTACTAGTGTTAACTGGTTTATGTGATTTTATATAATTAACATTGATTGATTGAATAATTGAATGATTGTTGAAGGTAAACGCGACTTTAAGCATATTGGCTATTTCGTGACAGCCAGTCTTTATTGGCGGAGGAAGCAAGAGTGGCCGGAGAGAACCATCGACGTTCGGCAGGAAAAAATGGCAATCCTAGTCAATTAAGATGAGACACGTGCAGGGTTTTACTCACAGCCTGATGGTTGACAGGCTAGTGATACAGTACTTAAGCAACATATACTACTCAGCCACCGAGGTCCCTTTTTGACATGGATAAACTACTGCTGTCTCCAACATAAATATATTCCACAACCCTTCACAAAAATATATTAAATCAACATACACATCATTGTATAATTCGATTGATTGCTTGTTGTTTGCTAGCTTTGAATTGTTTCGTGCATATTCAGAACAAGAACAAATCAATAGTTAAAACAATTGGTAAGTTCTGCCAGTTGGGATAACATGGATGAAAGGCGAGAAATTTGAACTGCCACTGGAAAATTACAAGACTTCGTTAAATAGGAGGCAAAATTTTGCCTTGCAACATGCCATATACGGAACCTTCAATGTTGGGAAATGGGTTATTTAACGTGCATAGATTGTAGTACTCAAACTACAGGAGGTATTGGATTTCCATTTTTGAAAAGTAGGCTGTTAATCATCTCTAAATATCAAAATATAATCTCGTGGAGAGACTTTTGGGAGTTTTTTTCTCAAATGCAGTAGTTTAAGGTCCTACTGTATGACTCCATCAAATCTGTAAGACGAAAGTGAAAAAAAGATAACCACCGACTTCTGAAGGATGTTATTTGATAATACGATCTTCTGATTTTCAAAATCAAGGTGCCATACAAGTTCTTTTTTGTACCCACTTCATTTATATCATCTTAAATAAAGAAATGTATCTACCTCATGCAAAACTCTTTTCCTTGTTCGGATTTTGCTTCACTTAAGGTCCTTTTTGGTTTGATTAGCTCTATAATGTTTGTATAAGTTTCGGATTTTCAAGCATTTTGGCCTTGATCATTACTGAGGAGACATTTATTTCTGAAATGCTCATCCGGTGCAGTAATACTGGTACCGTTAATGTTATTACTAGTGCTCGCTTCTTGCATAGATTTTAGAAGCAGGTTACTTTTGAAAGACCATGTTCCCGACTACTTTGGTTACCATTATAAACAACATGTAGGCTCAAATTTATACAAAATATGTAATTATTGATTACAACTGGACGTCTGAAAAAACGAAATCAAACGCATTGTTTGGAATCATAAGAATGGCACACAATTCTTCCTGATTTTATTGATGCGTGAAATGAAACAATTCATTTTATTGTGAGTGAATTGGTCTATTTTACACTTCTATTAACTTCCAAAAATTGTTTCAGTCATAATATGTATCAAGAAAGTGCAAATTATAATAGTTGATACAATTGTGATAAAATGTTTGAAAATGCATTCTACAGAGAAGCTTCATGAAACTTTAATCTAATAAATATTTGTGGTTGCTGAAAAAAATATGATTACACTTTCTTAACAAACACAGATATACTCAACTTAGTATACACTCTGTTCAGAGTAGCATACCAGTATAACTCAAAGAAACAAAGTCAATGTTAAAATGTTCTCTTTTTATTTCTGCAGCTTAGACAATAATATACTCTGAAAATTAACAACAAACAGAACAATGGCAAGAATTGCCAGAAAATGCATAAACAGTGAGAAGTCACTCATTTCATTCACTTTACCTGTCTCTCTTCCTTAACAAAGACAACAATCATATATTCACCTATTGATTTTTTACATTTACCAGTAATAACTTGACCAACATCCCATCCAGTTTTCCTATCTTAGTAGTTTATGAATATTTCTTTGTGATGAATAACAACTGTGTCATGTACACATATAGAACCATACAATATATAAACTCTACAGTTTGCTTTTATCATGCCTGCTGTATTTTTTCTTCAATTTCCATTTTCAATAGCTGGTCCCTTACTTAAATTTTAAATCAATTTACAAAAGTGGATTTCTTACAAAAGGTTCTAAAAGAGTCAGGGGAGTAAAATACTAACTTTTGAATTATTTTGACAGTAGGGAGTTTTGTTCTAAGTGACCATTCACCTTTAAAAATTCTGATTCAAACCCCTCTTCCATTCACATAAATCACCTTAATCATTCCAGTCATAATTCCCTTTAAAATTTAGCAGCTTATATAACTATTTTTAACACCCATGTTTATATGAAACATAGATGTGTAGATGTGACGATACCGCCTATCATTATGAAGACCTAATCAAGTTTTTAGCAAACTGTAAAGTTTTTCCCCCCCATTTTCAATTTAAAGAGAGTACAATATTAAAGTTCATTCAATCATCAAAATATTCTACCTAGTTGTCTGACAATCTAAGAATTCATCTTTCAGGACAGCAGAAACCCTAAATAACCAAGGACAATTTTTTCTAAATTATTTACCTTGACCTTCTTATGGAAAAAAATGAATCAATATGTTTTTACTTATATATTGCAGCAATTGGAAATGTCTTCTACAAAAAGCAAGAAAAAAAGGTTTTAAGCTGTTGGTTTTTTTTTTCTAATCAGAGTTGAACTAAAAGGTCAGAAATCCAGAACCTTTTTGTGTAAATTTATTTTCAAAAATGGCTAACATTTGAAAAATATTAAGTATCCTTGAAAAATAATAAATAAACCATTATTTAATTGTTAAATACATGCTATGATGTTTCCCTTTACTATGGACTTAGTGTAATTATAGGAAAGTCTGAGACCTTTAAACAGAGGAAAAAATTTGACCCCTACCCCTTTATGTTTTGGTATTTACATTGTACATCAAACAACAAACTTAATAACACCATGTACTGATATGGTGGTAAAAACATTTAAATATACAACACAACAAACTGAAAATCAAAAATATTCTTGAAACAAAATATTCCACAAACATTGTGAGTTCACTTCTGGTCACCTCCAAATAGGCCTCCGTTATTCTTCAAAAATTAAAAAATTGTTAACAGATACTGGAATTATAAATAACAAATGTTAAGACAGTTTTGCTTTTCTTTTTATCTGAAATTAAACTACTAAATAAGGAGTCCCTTAAAATTTTTGTTTTGTCTCTTGACAAAGTGTAATGGTCTAAATTTACTGTGGATTCATTTATTTTCGTGGATACCAATTTTCGTTGATTGTGGAAAAATTGCATCTTAGTAGATATTTGATTTTGTGGTTTTTCCAAAGTATCCATACAAGCCTATGGAAAACATGGACATTTAAATTAGTGGTTCACTGTTACCTGCGAAATCCACGAAAATTGGTATACCACAAATAAAGATAAATCACAGTATTTCACATATCAGAATTTGTAATATTTTTTAATTAGTCAGATATTCTTTCCCACATAAAGATGTTCATTTATTATGATTATGAGTACAAAAATGTGTTGGTCAAATATTTAGTTCCTTTTAATGTTTGTAATATCACCATGGGTGAGAGATGCAGAATTCAGCGGGTTTAAATAGTAATGAAAAAACCAGCCAACTTTCAATTCTGCTTTTGTCAAAGGATGTTCGCCATTCACTTTTCAACCTATTTCGCTCATATTAAAAACACTTTGAGAATTTTCCGTAGCAATTCATTACAAAAAAATGCCCACGAATCCCTTCATTTATTTTTATTTTTTACAAAGAAATATCTAGCATACACATTTGGCAAATAGTTTGTAATTCTTGTTATGCTATCAATAAATTTCTTACATTCTTAAATTGAATTGACCCCATAAATACATTTTTATTTTCCTAACAAAATTTTGTTTCATTCCAAAAACAAGCGTACAGACTTATCTTTGTTTTTCTAATAATTTGGTGTGTTGTTTATTTTCTGACAAAAATATTGAAACAAAGAAAATGTTATGATATCTGTAGATAACATCCCTAAAGTCGTTTGACAAAAAAAGAGGAGTACAAAAATAAAAATATTTTGGTGTCAGACAAGGATCTTCAGCAAAACTATAAAAAAAAAAAAAAAAATTGAACCCCTTAGATTTGCCCACACTGTTTCTTACAATGAAATAAAAACTGACAAAGGTACATTCAGGGAACACAATATGAAAGCACATAATCCTATAATGAAATAAGCTATTGGTACAATAAGCAAATTACATTATACAGCAAGCAAAATATTCTGTTACACAGAAAACTTACAAAAGCTATAAAATACCATAATATAATATTCTCCTCATTTAATGAGTAATGATTCATTTTATACAAAAACTATGATCTTTCATTATGAAGTAAAAAACATTTTATTGCAGCATAAACAAAAATATTTTGATTTCCTTTCATCACATTATAACTCTTTGAATAGCCAACCCTGAATTTGAGAATACCATTGAAAATTCATTAACTTTGTCTTGCTTCTTCTTTCCACAAAAAGATCAATCAAGTTATATTTTCTGTTATGGATTGGCAGATAATGCTTTGAACTTCATTTAGAAATAAAATTTGTTCTCCTTTATCGACTCTCCGACTTTAACCTGGATGTAAAACAAAGCCTAGAAACTCCCTTGGTTTATTTTCAAGGAGATTAAATTTCCCCACTCAAAGTCCAAACCTTTTTCACACAGTTTAGACCTTTCTTTAAAAAAAATCCCACTTAACAGAATATTAGCAACATTTAAAAAAAATCACTCCTCTCAAAATATTTTATAACTCTTGTTATTTGTACTACACCGTTCATTATTCATTTCAGCCCATATATTCCCTAGAAAAATCAGGAGAGAAAAAAATGTTCCTCCTATAATTCTTTTTCAAATGGTTGTATCTCAAATAAACAAATACCTGACCTATCTACATTATTCCATAATTTTAATACATTAAAAACTTTAGCTATTGAAATAATCTTTTTTTCAAAATGTTGTTATTTTCATCTACTGAAACAGACAATTTATGAAAATGTTATTAAAATTTCCGAAGATAAAAAACCCTTAACAGATGACCCTTCAGTCTTCATAAAATGTATGTTAACACTTTCACTCTTATGCCACAAGATCATATGGGCAAGGTGACCATCAGGTCATCTTATTCTTAAAACAAACAATGAGGTTTCAATGGTATCTTTAAACAAGGTGTATTTCTTGCAACTCAGAAAAGGACAAATGTTATAATGACCTTTACTGGACAATATTTCTTAAAAAAGATACATTTCCTGAAAGCAGAAAAAAATAGTTTTCAAGGGACAATATTAATAAAACATTTCTCTTACTCTGGACATTTATAGGACATCAAGCCAATTGTTTGTTTATTTTTAAAATGTCTTAGAATACAAAAATAGAAGAAGGGAGATTGAAAGGCACTACTACACATATAGAATGTTTATTCAATGTCATATTCCATCCAATAACAAATGCCATCAAATCCTCATTTTTCGTTTCTTATCATCTTCAATCATGGAACCCAGTGCAGCACATTGCATTCAACTTATTTTGAACAAGATCTTTTATAGCTGATGTATCAATAAAGAAACTTTTAACTATATATGTAATTCAGTGCACAAAATTCAAGTCAATGAAATTGAATTCTTCAATACACCTGTAAAGATCCTTATTGATAAAGTTGGAAATCTACAATCGTCTTTTCTCTGGATATTTTAACTATTTTATCAAACATGTCAAATGCACTTACTTTCTAACTGAATAATTCTGCTCTGCAATCATTATTTTGGAATATTAAAAGGCCTATTTCAGTGAACTATATCTATTTCTATTTGTGGAGGTTTAATATAAAATAATACAAATAAATAGATGAAATTTTGAGTTTATGAAAATTAAATGCTCTGTTACCATGGTTTCACTTCTTATGAAATATTTGTAATGGCTCTGCCTTGAACGGAGAACCTTTGCACTTTTTAATGACATTTTGTACTTTACTATAATTTAATTGGCCACGTCAGAACAGAATTGAACCATGGGTAATTTATATTCCAATAATGTGTGCAAAATAACATGATTGTTAAACAAAGTCTAAAATGATAGATATATTGCTGGTCTTCATTAAAACAGTGAATAGAACATTAAATTGCCATTTGTCATGTATTTCATTTAAATCTTAACATAGTGAAGGAGAAGGTAATATAAGGTCAACTTTTTTGCAAAGTTGGTCAATGCCCAAGCCAAAAAGAGACTAACATATCTGAAATAAATGTGTACAATAAGGTCCCAGACTAAAGGTAAATACTAAAATATGGTCTTTTCTAAACAGAAACATCAAGTCGCAAGACATTACCTTTTTTTTTAACTGTTTAACTACTGGATACAGTGCCTTGATATACATATTGAGCAGTATTTTTCAGATAGATATATATTGTCTATGATGTTATTTAATTGGAATCATCGATGATAATAACAATCATTTTGTTTCTTAAAAGATTCACATTCAACCTGGAGGCTTCTGTTATTTAAATGGCCTATTATCCAAGCATCCAAGGGATGGGATGGATAAGAGGCATTCTAGAAGGAATAAAAATATTTCAGGCATGCTTTTTGATTCATAGAATTTGACCCAAAATTATGTGAAAAATGGTTATTTGAGGCCCCATCCTGTCAATGGAAAAAAAAATTACATCATAGTGAAATCTCAACCATAATTTCTGCACTTAAGTCACAAGATTGTATTAACTTCTCATAAGTCAAATAATTTTGAAAGGACTGAACATTATTTTTTTGTAATTTCATGGGCAAAACTATGATTCTTATCATATTGATTTTTCAGGGCATTTTTTTTTTCAATTATATAGGCATAATAATGACCCTTATCATATCTCCTCCTCCTCCGATTATCAACATGTAATCTTGTTAATTACTTATAAAACATTTGACACTTTGAATGGAAAATAAATATAACACCCTCATGATAAGAGAGCGGCTTCAGATGATTTTATGTTAAAATGCTACACTTATAACTATAAAAATGCTTGGATTTGACAAAGGAAACATAAAATAACAAAAGAATAAACATAAAAATTAAAACAATATATAAATCTCATATCTTTAACAATTTAATTCTGTGAAGAACCATTTGATGAAACAGAAATGGATGAATGTGGCACTGGTTGAAGTGTTGCCATGGTTTCAGCAGCCAAAGCAACAGGTACCCCTAGTAACACAGCAGCATGGGAGCCAATGGCAGCTTCCACACTCTGTGCCAGTTCAGATCGAGCACTATCTATATTAGAAGCTTGTGTAATGTCAACATACTGTTGTTGTGATGGGAACTGATTCTGTGTATGCTCATTGTTTTGAGACAAAGAAGTTTCCACATAAAATGACTGTGGTGCTTCAATGTTATGTGCAGCTGATGTAACCAGCTGATTCAATGATGTGGCTATATTTTTGTCAGATAAGGCATGTGATGTATCCACATAAAAACCTTGACGAGATTCTGTCTGTTCCGTAGAAGTCTGAGAGTTTAATTTCGATGATGTTGGTCGGGTATGCACAGAAGACACATTTGGCTCAGCCATTGTTACGTTTCCATCGTTCGACATTGCAGATCCTAACAGACCCTGTCCTGCCATTTGTGAATTATATTCTGCGGTCTCCATCCTAAGAATATATGGTATAATGCTGTCTATCTGAACATTACCAATCAGACCAGCAAAGAACAGTTCTTCCATGATACTCGGAGTCATCCCATGTAAAGGAGGAAGTCTCAGTAATAGTTTAGGAAGTCTGTCAGGATTTGAAGGATGTGTCCGTTCTACATGATGTCTTAATTCCTGTTGGATCATATCCTGGATTTTCTCTATTTGTGGAGCATTCAGTAATGAGGGATTATCTGAAATACATGGAATATGATAAATATCAGTGCAAATATTTAATATGGGAAAACGCCTTGCTATATTCTTTTATGTGTCCGTCTCCAGTCAGGGGCCTGCAATTTAGTGGTTGTCATTGGTTGCTGTCTATCATATTTATTTTCTTTTGTGTTTCAGCATAAATCAGGTCTTTGAATTTTTTGTTTGAATTGTGTCACATTTTATCATGTTGAGGCCTTTTACAGCTTAATAAATAAAGTATGGTTTTTGCTTATGTAGTAGCCATACAGTAACCTATAGTTGCTTTGTCCACACTGTTTGGTCTCTGTTGGAGAGTTGCTTCAGCAGCGATCATACCATATATCCTTATATGTATTTTAAAAATTTGATTAAAGGCTGTACCATAAAGCATAAAAGCAATTCCATAATTTATGAGAGAGTTTGTTATATTTCTTTGCCTTTTCTAAGTCTGTAATTTCTTTTTATAAACCCAACATTTCTATTCTGACATCAAATTAGGATTATTGGCATCTAGCAAAGAGTTCCCCTAATGCAAATGGTAAGGGTTATCTTGTACTTGAAGTGAATCTTGAGCTTTAGGTGTGTATATATAAAAGGCTTTCCTTGTACTTTAAGATATAAACAGCAATGGTGTTGTTCCTCTGTTTAGAATTTTTTCAAATTTGTATGAAGATTATGTTATAAATAAATTCATCAAATCTTTTCTTTTCTATTTACACTTCATCTTAATTTCATTTTCAATTGTTTTCTAACAAAGAATTTACGATTTTTTGTAGAAACAGATTTAATGTCAGATGTCATTTTTGTAGACATAGCAATCATTAGCATGATAAATGTACGTATTCCATTCTAAATTTACATTTTAATCAAATAGTTTAATAACTAAATTTCTGTTCTGAAAACAAAGATGTCACCAGACAATTTTTTTGCATAAAAATCAGTAAATTAGGAATATATTTTTAAATAATAAGGAAATAACTTATTATCAAAGTAAAATTAAATGTTTATATAAGTTGGTATGCCCCAAAGAGCTTCTTTCTTTAATAACATGAAATAATATTTCAACTGATGATTATAGATTAAATGACATCTATAATTTTCCACTCTTGAACTACCTGACTATATAACATTAGAATTGCTATAAATATGTTATAAAAGAAGAGAGAAAAACTTGACATCTTTATATACAGCCATTTTTTAATATAAACATGTAGTTACCAGGAGAAAATAGCACTAATGCTTTCAGATAAGCATACTCCTCTGTATCTACATTTAACTGATGCATTGACTGGATATAATTCTGTAACTTCAGTATGTGGTCTATAACAATCTTAATACGCTCTGCTGATGTCTTATCTACAAAGAAAAACATATAAATACATGCGACTTCAAATTTCACATGCACAACCTAGACTAATTGATTGATTGTTGGAAGCTCAACGTCCAGTAGCAAATATTTTTCATCCATGTTCAGGACGAGCATTACATTATTCAGATGACTTAAGCTTGTATATACATGATATAAGACAAGTATGCTCTGCTAATAAAAAAAATGAAAATAATTGTTGCTCACAAGAACTAATATGTTATAAAATAAAGGTAGAGGTCAATCAAGATAAAGGATGGGAAATTTTAACTGCCTCTGGAAAATGCTGACATGTTGGATAGGGACAGACATATTGCCTTGCAATAGGCAACCTACCAACCCCTCAAATTTTTGTTCAGAGGGTTCTTTAACGTGTAGAAAGCATGGCATTTTCTTCAAACAAGGCATAACAGTGGCATCCCCATCTAACACAAGAGTGCACACGCTCAAATGTCTCGCCTTCTTTACTAATCATTGATATTATGTTGATATTCCTAAATATAAAGCTTTATTACAACTGTCACATAAACTTAACATTAACCAAGTAAACTAAACATTGACCAATGAACCATGAAAATGAGGTCAAGGTCAGATGAACCATGCTAGGCAGGCATGAACAGCTAACAATTCTTCCATACAACAAATATATGTGACCTATTGCTTATAGTTTAAGAAAAACAGACCAAAACACAAAAACTTAACACTGAGCAATGAACCTTGAAAATAAGGTCAAGGTCAAATAAAACCTGCGTGACTGACATATAGATCATAAAATATTTCCATACACCAAATATAGTTGAACTATTGCATATAGTATTAGAAAAAAAGACCAAAACTCAAAAAACTTAACTTTGACCACTGAACCATGAAAATGAGGTCAAGGACATTGGACATGTGACTGACGGAAACTTCGTAACATGAGACATCCATATACAAAGTATGAAGCATCCAGATCTTCCACCTTCTAAAATATAAAGCTTTTAAGAAGTTAGCTAACGCCACCGCCGGATCACTATCCCTATGTCGAGCTTTCTGCGACAAAAGTCGCAGGCTCAACAAAAAAATGGTAACCAATATTATACATTCCACACAGTCCAAGAGACACTACACTTTAGCAAGGGTATTAACATAATCAAGGTTGCCTCAGCCAATTTCCATAATTATTATGCATAATATTTGGTCCCTTTTATTTTTTGTAAAAGTCTGACAGAGTAAACTTTTAACAGATTTATACATGTTTATCTGTTAAAGTATTTTTTCATGTTGCACTTTGTGGTAAAACTAGGTAAATTAAAGCAGATGAGTCAAAAATGTTTAACTGTTATTTTGCCTTCATCCAGAGATGGTAAAGATATCGATCTACAATCAGAGTAATTACATAATGATTGGACATTGATCTCCAGATGACTTCAATATCAACTAATTAAAAAACAAGAATGTGTCCATAGTACATGGATGCCCCACTCACACTATCATTTTCTATGTTCAGTGGACCGTGAAATTGGGGTCAAAACTCTAATTTGGCATTAAAATTAGAAAGATCATATTATAGGAAAAACATGTGTACTAAGTTTCAAGTTAATTGGACTTCAACTTCATCAAAAACTACCTTGACCAAAGACTTTAACCTGAAGCGGGACAGACTAACGAATGGATGCACAGACCGAAAAACATAATGCCCCTGGGTGGGGCATAAAAAATGTTGTCAACCATATAAGAAATCTGAACATGACAAACAGACATTTAGTCATCCAAGCTGGCATTGCTGATTAGCAATTTTAATAATGATCAAAGACCATTAAGATTTTTTAATCAAAATCATATTTGAACGAACTTAGAAACAGATTATCACATAAAATACTCAATGCCCTAATGATGGTATCAATATAAGAACTAGAATCAAAAGACTCTCAACTACCAAAGGGCAGCAACTCTGTGGAATAACATAACAAACCAACTGATAGACCTCAGCATGCTAAATGATAACCCCGACAGCAAAGACAACTAGACAAGACAACTTGCACATTTAAGGAGACATTTGTTTAGTGCTTATAGGGACACTTGTGCATAATGTGTTATGTGCTTTGTTTCATTATCCATGATCAAATGTGACATCTTATTAACATGTTAATATTTTGCATTTTAATAAAAGTATGTTTATTAGTTTTTTTTATCATTTTGATGTAATAGTGGCCAAACGAAATGAAGTATATCAAATACGGTGATTAGCTTAAATATGACATCAGAATATATCAATAAATTAACATAATTCTAATGACCTTGAAAAATTGCTTTTATCACACATTCTTCCTTGAGTACTTGTATCGAGGGAAAAACTTTTGACAAGTACAAGATTTGGGTCAGTATCAGTCAAATAGATAGCATGTATGGCATAAACAGAGAATGGACATCAATTGGATCAAGACGACTGATTGAAATAATAGCAAATATGGGTATTAAACAAGCATACATCTTTCCAAGCATTGGGTATAGTAAGCTAAAATGGAATTTCACATTTTGTTAACTTAGCTACATGGCTCATAGACTTAAATTACCTTGATGCAAAGCTGTCTGAAGATGATTTAAAATAGCCATTAATATGGTCGGCAGAGACATGGTCTGTGAACACTGTGCTAAACCAAGTGTGAATAACTCACTCCAGCAAGACTTTACCAAAACAGTCTGTATATCCTGACTACAAAACATAATTGGAATAACATATGATTGTAATTTATGTGGTAATGATGCATATTTCTGGAATAACTTCACCATGTTTATGCTGTTAACTTTTCTACAGAGCATACAATACTTCAGAATCCCAGGAAGAGATAAGTCTGATAATTCTGTTTCAACTTTGATCAATAAGCAATAAAAAAAATTCAAACATGACTTTTCTTTGAATTATGATTTTTGATTGTCCTAAAAGTATATTTTCTTGCTTTTTTAAAAATAATTCATGCCAGTATGCTGACCTAAATGGATATTTAGTTTTGTTATAGTTTTGTTTCTATTTCGTTAACATGTATCCCACATCTCCTTTTATTCATAAATATACCTTACCTGGTTTTTTTCATAAAATTATTGTATTCACAAATTACAGATGAAACACTAAACTACAGATCTTTGCATTTAGCCCTTTCAAGGTTTTCTAATTTTCTTGATGTATTTATATACATGTAAGAAATCCAATTATTACATATTGATAACAATTTTTTTCACGTTATTTTTCTACTCTTGAAAATAAGTTGGTTAACAGTATTACACATCCTGCAGATTAACATCTACTCTTTTCAAAATACCCAAGTCTCACCTCAAAGCCTGAAAAGCCTGTATAGATCTTGTCCAATGCATGGATAAAAATAACAACCGAGAAGCACTTTCACAAATATAATGTACATTTAAATAAGCAGGCATTGGAGAAGGTGTGGTCAAATTGAACTGGAAATTGGATGATGACAGAATTGGACCTGAAAAAAATAAAATCAATAATGTATATCAATACATGGATGAAGATGTACATAAAACATTATATAAATAACACATAGCTGAGAGGGTGATAGAGCAGATTGTTACCCCGAGAAAACATTGTCAACTGAGACGAAGCCAAGGTTGACAATGTCTTTTCGAGGGGTAACAATCTGCTCTATCACCCTCTCAGATATGTGTTATTTAATTTATTATACTGAATGTCATTACTGTCGATTAAATTTCAAATTCAAAGTAATAAACTATGACGTCTTGTACATAACAATCATCCGTATTTAATAAAGCGCACACTTGATCAAGCGTCTCTGTGAAGGGTAATAGAGTATTTGCCATAGGATAGAGTCGTATTTAATAAAGAGCACACTTGATCAAGCGTCTCCGTTTAGGGTAATAGAGTATTTGCCATAGGATAGAGTCGTATTTAATAAAGCGCACACTTGATCAAGCATCGCCATGAAGGGTAATAGAGTAAATTAACACCCTTGTATTAGCCCATCCAAATATGGCATTTTAACGTAAAGTATAATAAAATAAAATTTTACAAGAAGTTGCTCCAGTTGTTATGCAAGGTACACACTCACAGAGACACTCTATCTAATATCTATGAAATATTCAATTCTCCCCAATACCTTTTATAACTTACTAAACAGTATTGGTTTTGCTAAACATTGGCGGCTATAAATGACCTTTAGTAGGTCTTTGACAGATAGTTGCCTTTTCTAGCAATATCAGTGGGTTTAATAAATAAATGGAATACAGTCTCAAAAAGTGACTGCCTGGAAGGTCCAAATATTATCTATACGTAACATTATGAATGTTCAAAATACCAATTCATTCCTCACAACAGAAGCTGAGTAGTATTTAAGGAAAAATTCAAGGCTCAGTGGTAATGATAAAATTCAAATGTACTATGAAACAGGAATTGACTGCGTTAAAGATCTAAAAATCCATTATAATAATCTCAAATTATATCATATCTGATTAATTTGTATTGAAAATAGCTAATTAATGGATACATGGACAGTATGAAGAGAATCCTTATGAAATTGAGAAAATATTAAAGCTCTTTAATCTTTTCAAGAGTTTATTAATTTCATAGGTTAAAAAAGAAGTTGAAAGCTATAGAAGCTATAGGTTAGGCCAGTTGCTCATATCTATATGTTGATGACAAGTCATCAAATGAGACTAAATTCAAGAAGTTTTAAGCCCTTAACCAAATATGACAAACAAAATTAAACAAGTGACTGCTCACTAATGATACCCCCGCCCGCTAAAAGTATAAGGTAAACAGGAAGTTGTTGAGTGATGAATCTGAAAATACATCACACAGTAAAGCGGACTTATATAAACCCTGAAAACAAATTTTAGAAATCCTTGTATTGTAGTTTCTGAGAAAAATGTGACGAAAAATATTCATGGGATGGATGGACTGACAGATGGACAGACACAGGTAAAACAGTATACCCCCACTTTTTTAAAGCGGGGGTATAAAAAGATAAATGCTGATATCTGAGAGACTAATGTCTTGTGAACAACTCATAGATGTAATCTGACAGACTAGTGTCTTGTGAACAACTCATAGATGTAATCTGACAGACTAATGTCTTGTGAACAACTCATAGATGTAATCTGATAGATTTATTTACATTACTGTTTTATTTTTGAATTTAAAGGGTAAAAAAAACATATCATCCCTTTTCTTTTTAACCTAATTTTCTCTCTAGGATAAGTCTGGAAATACTGTAAATTCAGAAATTATTGCAAGGTTTTTATTAACGCAAATAATGCGACTCTGTGAGTATCTCAATAATAAGAATTCACACTTTGATAACTAAACCATAGATCTGTATGTAGATTTTTCTTAACTTGCAGTCTTGTTCATTTTTGAATAAAATTCTTCGCTGGGGCGCAGCTTGATACGACCGCAGAGGTCGAACCCTGAACAGTTGGGGCAAGTATGGACACAACATTCAAGCTTGATACAGCACTGAATTTGGATTGTAATTAAATATTTGACACAGCATAGGTTTCTGACACAGAATGAATGGTCTAAGAACTTAAAAAATTTTAATTTATCTATTCAAACCATATCATTATTATTTGCTTTTATATATTAATCAGAAATAACCAATTTAAAATGGAAAATTTTAAAGAAAAAAAATGAAAAAAAAAATCCCCCCCCAAATTTTTTGAACCCCCTTATGATTCATTACCCCCAAACTCAATCCCAGCCTTCCCTTTGTGGTATGGTACCTTCAACTTGCATACATGTGATGGACTGTGAAACTAAGATCAGGAGTTTGGGAAATTTTGGTCAGGAGATTAGGACTCAGATCAGGAGGTTTTTAATCGACATAAATTCTGTCGTAAATGTAACCGTGTGCTGTAGAAATTGTCTGTTAAAGTGTGTTTTCTTCAACTTTCCATCTGAATGTATTATGTTTATAGTACGTTTGTACTTATTAATTTTCTCTATCTTTTTAAACTTTCAACTTGTTCAATCTAACATTCTTCTTTTTTAGTATGTTCTTTAAATTTTTTAGGTCAAATCTGTTTTACCATTATTCCTTGCAATCAAAACAATTGCTTATCTATCTGCAAGTAGATCTTTTGTTTTATCTTTATGCATTGCTTGATAAGTATTACATTCAAACTGTATTCAAGGGTCATAGTTATTATATAAATTTCAATTTAAGCCTTGAAAGGAAGTATAGAACCCTCAAATAATTTTCAAATTATTATTTTTTTATTTGTCCTAAGACATTTAAAATCATTTAATTACCATCCTTTTATGATTATTTGTTCAATTTATATTTTATTTATATTCTTTTAAAAATTTACATTATTTAAAGGAAAGAAGTAACTTAAAACAGGATAAATCAAGGGAAGTAACCCAACATTCATTTTAACTACACAAAGTTTTATTACACAACGGCAGTTAGCCTGAGGTAAAAATCGTTGATTACCAGTATGTTTGCCCCTTTATGGCCCCTAATTCCTCAAATTTCTAGGGAATTACCCCCAAAATCAATCCCAGCCTTCCCTTTGTGGTATGGTACCTTGCAGTACAATTTCAGAGAGATCCATACACTTGAACACAAGTTATTGTCTGGAAACTAGAAAAATGCATATTTTTGGCCCCTGTTTGGCCCCTGATTCCTAAACGTTGTGGGCAATTACCCCCAAAATAAATTCCAGCTTTCTCTTTGTGATATGGAACCTTTTAGTACAATTTCATAAAGATCCATACACTTACACACAAGTTATTGTCATGAAACTAGAAAAATGCTTGTTTTTTGCCCCTTTTTGGCCCCTAATTCCTAAAATTTGGAGGCAATTACCCCTAAAATCAATCCCAGCATTCCCTTTGTGATATGGAACCCTGTGGTACAATGTCAGAGAGATCCATACACTTACACAAAAGTTATTGTCATGAAACTAGAAAAATGCTTGTTTTTTGCCCCTTTTTGGCCCCTAATTCCTAAAATTTGGAGGCAATTACCCCCAAAATCAATCCCAGCATTCCCTTTGTGATATGGAACCTTGTGGTACAATGTCGGAGAGATCCATACACTAACACACAAGTTATGTCTGGAAGTTACAAAAATGCTTATTTTTGGCCCCTTTTTGGCCCCTAATTCCTTAACTGTTGGTCCCATAACCCCCAAAATCAATCCCCACCTTCCTTTTGTGGTATTGAACCTTATGGTAAAATTTCATAGAGATCCATTCACTTAAACTAAAGTTAGAGTGCGAAAACCAATGTGTCTTCGGACGACGACGATGACGCCAACGTCATACCAATATACGACCACAAAAATTTTTTGCGGTCGTGTAAAAATCGCATCAATAAATGCACCTAATAATTTCTGAATTTACAATATCTTAAAAAATTTTTCTATCCAAAATGTACATGGTACCCAGGGAAAGCGCTGTCATTCAAGCTGTCTTCCTTGGGTCCCATTTTTTTTATGGAACAGTCCTAACAACATGATGATGTCAGGGAATAAATTTTAGACATATTTTCTCATAAATGTCATTTTACCCTCTATTTCTACATAATCTCTGCTGTAATCAGCAGTCATAGCAGATGTATCCATACTCAATGATGATTGGTCCAAACTTGACGAAGACTGGTCCAAACTGGATACTGATTGGTCCAAACTATCATTCACCAAATTAGAATGGTCCATGTTCTGTAATGAATACATATGGAATTAAAAATCCCTTTCTTGGTTTAATTTTTGTTTCATTCGAACCATTTACAAGGGGTACAATACTGTATTCACACCATGAATGTGATAGTTTTTTGGGGCAGAATCTAGAAATAAGAAGAATGTGACGTTAAATTTTCATTTTAAGCAAAATTTGAAATGCTTTATTTAACTATGAAATAAATCAGAACAAGACATTTACAATTATAGAAAAAAATTATGTCTAGTATTTTTTAAGACAGAAAAATCCAAATTCGCTTTAAAATATATGATATAGACAGTTATTCTGAAGACACTTTCAAAATTTTAGAAAGTTCAGTTTGGTGATGTAAAAGTTGATCCCACATCAAATGGACTAAATGACAAGTCAAAATCAGAAAAACTATTCGGGTTATTCTAAAATTTATTATATAAGAGGGTTGGGAGGCTATTTTTTTCCTTCTTGACCCCCACTCATACAAATAATATTAGGGAAATTTAATGCCTTATTATGTGAAAAGTTGTTTCAAACCCTACTACCATAGAGTTATTGCATGAATATTGTCCAGAGTGAATTTTTAATATTGCACGAGCTTGTGAATGCACTTATTACTCTACGAGAGATAATATTCAAGAATATTCATGCAATAACACTTTTATTGTATAGCAAAGCTGGAAAAAACTGTTTTAAACATATTTTCTTCACGAATGAAGTCGACAATTTGAACTTATTTGCACTAGTGCAATATCAAATTATTTAACTCAGTATGTTTTGGTCTTAATAAAATTATAGACAGATAAATTTACTATTTTATCAAAATTGTCTGAAATGATTATTTACTGATTAATAGTTTCAAAAACTATTTACTGGAAGCAAACCTTTTTGTAAGAAGACTATATGTTTTTCTGCTTTTTATCGATCTGATGAGTAAGCCATTTTCAACTGATTTTTATAGTTTGTTCTTATGTTGTACTGTTACACCACTTTCCCAGGTTAGGGGAGGGTTGAGCGCTCACAAACATGTTCAACACCACCACATTCTTTATGTGCCTGTCCAAATTCAGGAGCCTGCAGTTCAGTTGGTGTTGTTGGTTCATGTCTGTCACATTTTTTTTCAGTAAATTGTTTTGTTTTAAATTAGGCCATTAGTTTTCTCAATTGAATTGTTTCATATTTTTCATGTCAGGGCCTTTTATAGCAGACTATATTGTATGGGTTTTTCTGATTGTTGAAGGCTGTATGGTTGCCTATAATTGCTTACATCCACTTCATTTGAACTTTGGTGGATAGTTGTCTCATTGGCAATCATACCACATCTCTTTATTTTTATATTGCATGTAGCTGGTTTATAGTTTCAAAAACTTTTTTTTTAGCAAACATTTCCAATTCTTTCTGAATAATAAAACACTAATTTAATGGCTTTTCGTACAATAGCAAGTTTATTGTCCTCATAGCCAGTTAATAAGTGTATAATATTGCAAGCAAAATTTGTTTGTGGGAAATATTCCATTGCTATACAATAAAATTATTTCTTGAGTAGCCCTTATTACATAGTCGCCATTTTTGTGAAACATTATTTATCAGAGATGGTTGAATAGTAATAAAAGACACAAATTTATCAAGATCTTTGGAATAACTTATAGAAATATATCACTGAATTTTAACGAGAACTGCTTGAAATCAACCTTCAAAGGCTGCATGTAAGCAAGGCAAAAATTCTTTAAGCAGAAAAATAACACCAAAACATGCAGGGTATGGATACTAGCATTGTCCACCCACTAAAAACTGAACAAAAATTTTGACAAGAAAAAGTAAGCTTTTGTAAATAAACATAACTCACAACATTCCAGTCTGTTAAGATATTCTATTATGAAGGAAATGTTGTTCACATGTTTTAAATTTTAAATGGTGAAAATACTTCACTTACTAAATTAATTAAAACTGATATCCCATAAAGAAAAATGAATGTACATGTACAGATATCGGATTATCCCATTTTAAACTGTCCAACTGCAATATCAGGAACGGAAAGATTTCTGCATACCTCTAAAATTATTTTCAATGTGCATTGACCCCTGTCTTTACCTAACCACATATCTGTAAACCAACTTAATTCCTGGATACTTTTTTCACATTTAGCTCATAAACTTTGCCGCAATTTAATTTTGCAATTGTTTAAACATGCTTCATATATTTAAGAGGAGATCTCAATTTTGGAATATTCATAATGATTTATTAAGTTATACTAGTATTGTCTTCTTCTCAGTACTTGTGTGAAATTTTGCAAAAATTTGTTAATTTATATACAATTTAAAAAAAAGGGTTTCATTATAAGAGCTGTTAGGGGTAAGGGGAGGGGGACACAGGAGGCACTTTTTTAAGACCCTGACAACCCATAGATACAAATTTTCATTTTACTCATATTTCTTACAAAATTCTAAGGAAAATGTAACCTCACATATTTAATTAATTTGAATGCCTCCTGCCACCTCCCCCCCCCCAAACCAATAAATTTTAGAAAAGCCCTAATAAGAAAAAAAATAGACAGGTTTGCTTGGAAATCTTGCCTACTCCTGCTGCAGTCATTTTATTTTAAATACTGTGCATGATTTTTCCTTCATGGGATACAATGTTTTTTTCTCTCTCTCAAATTGGTAAACTAAAAACATTCAACAAGTATTGAAAAATATACCTGCTGAAATGACTCGAAATAAACCAAATAGCAAAACAATCATAAACTATCCAAAAGACAACTTACTTTTGTATAAATCCCAAAAATTGGTAATAAATTTATATTTTGTTAATAGCTTAGCTGTATTTCTAATTCATATTTTCATAATAGCGTCTAAATAGTATCATATGATAACTGCATACCTAGAAATGAACACTGTCTCCATGTTACATGAGTGTGTGATTGCAATATTACAAATTGTGAGTTAAAGCCGTTTTCTACTATTCAAATGTAATGAGCTATGGGCTGTTCCATAATTGACATACGGGGATGGGAGGTACTTTTTAAAGACCCCAGCCACCAATAAAATAAAAATTTCCATATTACTTAAAATTCTTACAAAATTTTAAGGAAAATGCAACCACCCATATCTAATTAATTTGACTGTCTCCCATTCCCCAATCTATAAATTTTGGAACATATGTTTATACAATAAAATATTTGACTGACATGTGAAATTGTTGTTGAGAAATTATAATCAAAGTGCTGGTGAGCACTGGAGGGTTAAGATTGCATTCATTTTACAGTGGGAACTCACAATTAAACATTGCATTGTAGGCAATACTACAAATTGGTTCAATTTGATTAAGGACAAAGGAAGATAACTCTAATTTTTAATGTTACTTAAACAATGAGATCACTGATAATTTTAACAGATACTACATTCATGCATAATGCACAATTCTTGTAACTTTCTTGACAGGTATGGCAATAAGCATTCAAATAATTTTGTAACTTGAATTTCTGAATAAAATTTAAAAAAAAAGATGTAATATGATTGCCAATGCGACACTTTAATCCAGAGACTTAATGAAGTAGAAGCGAGTATATATTTTGAAATGTTCATGGAAAGGATGTATAAACCGTTGTGCTCAATTCACTATGTTTTGTTTATTTCAAAAGTAGAGAAAAAGTCTGGAAAATTGATAACTGTACAGTGTTCCAGCTAGGATTTGAAAATAGAGGGGCGCGTTTTTAAAAAAGGGCACATTAGCGCGTTCTCACTGAAAAAATTCAAATATTTAATATTACCACATAATGACCTATTTTTAGCAAGCATGTAGCTAAGTTAAATACTCTATACTATTATATACCAGTTTAAAAATCATTTATTTAGAACATATGAGTTAAAATCAAACTGAGAGCACTAATAGTCATTACTATATTCATTTCTCTTTCAGAACTACAGATTTTTTCAAAGAAGAGTTCAAATGCAAATAAATATTAAACAACATTGACAAGTCTTCTGTTTTTCTTTTTGAAGAAGGTTGTCACACATTGATCAAGAATTTTTTCAAATTTAGTTTCATCACAGTTTAATTTTACAGTTAATATTTTTGTTAATGTCTGTGTTTTCAAGTTTGCCCTGTGACTTGTCTTTATCAATTTGACCTGAGAGAATATTCTCTCCACCTCTGCTGTACTGAGTGGTTGTATTATTGCAACACTGAATAGTTTTGCAACAAGATAATAGGTTTTTATCCTTATGACAAGGTGAATGAAATAGCTCTAGCAGACTAGGTAAGGAACGATCTGTAAGTTCTGCTGATGACACAAGAGCTATAAATTCCTGCCATTGAATAAGGAGAGTTTCAGGGTCCATGTCAAATGTATTTGCCAGAGCTTCTATCTCTGTAAAACCATACATTGTTTCAATGTTGTCTGTTCCTGTAAGGTCTAAAATGGCCAACTGATCGATTGTGTCAGCATCCATAAATCTAACTGTTATATTTTCAATTAATCCATTGAGAAAGCACTCTCTGACTTTAAGTGTCGAAATCTACTGGGGGTGGGTCAGTAATGTTACATGTGCTTCTTAAATGTTCCTCTTTTTGAAGCCATGGGCCATTCTGGGTCTTTCTTGTTGTCAACAAATTGACAGTTTTCTCCACACAAGCATCTCCGTATATTTCATGTTGAGCGTATCTAATAATATCAATAAGGGGACGACCATTTGATATTCTGGGGGGGGGGGGGGCCAGGAGGATTTTGAAAATAAATAACTCAGCCTTGATAATCACAAAAATAAATGGTTTGTTCTGTGGTAGTTTGAAAATAAATTACCTGACTTGCAATGTATTGAAAATAAATAACTCAGCAGGTCTAATCGAAAGTATGAGATGGCACCAGATTCTTCATAAATTCATCTTTTTTCCAAAAAAAAAATCGGGAAACACTTCCCATATCTTTTAAATTAATAATAAAAGTATAAATATTATTTAAATATACTTGCTGTGACCTATAATGGTTTACTTTTATAAATTTTGACTTGGATGGAGAGTTGTCTCATTGGCATTCATACCACATCTTCTTATATCTATTGAAATGTCAGAAAATTGGTTTCATTTAACTTGAGGTTAATTGTCTCAGAAACACTTACCTCACTTTTATTAAATCAGGGCCGTAACTACATTGAGACAAATGCCTCATGTAGGAAATTTCAAAACCAAACGCTTGTCTCCATATCAAATTGTGTTCACCCTGAGTGCCTTGCAAGAAGCAAGTTCTGTTCTCCCTCAGACGTAGCCCCTGACTTTTCGGGATCAATGTTTCTTATTTATTTGTCTTTTGTTCATTGATTGCCCTTCTGTATTCTGTTAGTGTTGCATTCATTTTGTAATTTAGTAATTTTATTATTAACTTGATCATGAGTTCAAAAAAACACAGCAGCCACAGACTTAACTATGTGAATTACATTTTTGCTTTATCATGCATATTTGTCTTTTGATGTTGTTCCTAGAAACTTAAGTCTTACACTGAATCTATAACATGATTTTGCTTTGAGACCAAAATATTGTCATAAAATTATTAAAACAGAACTTGCATTTTCAGTTTAAGAAAGGGTCTGGGGAACACCCAGAAGGCATGATTTTGCATCATTTGTTCTACAGCTTCTTGGGCCTTCAGTGGTTCAAAAACCCTTCAAAAAAAATTTTGCATCGCTCCGCTCGGCAAAACATGTTTGCCAATACTTTTAAAAGAGCCTTTGTTACAAACAAACTTTAATACTGTGTATGTATGCAATACATGTATATGCATTGGGGAATATAGGAGATTCATTTCTGCAGAGGATAATAATTAATTCTGATTAAATGGTACATAATGACTTGACTATACATGAATTATTTATAATAAACAAATAATTTAAAAATTGTATGTTTTCGAATATATAAATATAGTTGTGAAAATAAATAATCAGTCCCTTGCTTTAATGAAAATGAAAAATCTTGCTTCAATAGTGCAGAAAATAGATAATCTGTCCTCTTAGTTTACAAAAATAAATAACCGATCCAAAACAAATCCTCCTGGCCCCCCCAGAATATCAAATGGTCGTCCCCTAAGTTTGTCAAAACGGATTTCAATAAGAAAATTGATACAAAAATCGGACTTTCGAGAGCTCCGTAATCAGCACAATAATAAATTAATTCAACTTTGAAAGTTTATTATCAATTCAACAAGCATCTCCGTATATTTCATGTTGAGCGTATCTAATAATATCAATATTAAAGTTAGTCAAAACGGATTTCAATTTAAGAAAAATGATATAAAAATCGGACTTTCGAGTGCTCCGTAATCGGCGGAATTTACAATAGAAGAACAATTGCGATATCTGATAGAAACCTTTCTTCTTCTCGATTTTTCATAAAAGTAAAGAATTAAATTATTTTTTTACCTTTGATGGTCATTATTCTTGAAAAAAGATGTAATAGACTGGCAAGTCTTTGCTTATTTTCATTTTCGAGTCGGTCAATTTTTCATTTTTTCGTCGGCATTTTGCGTGTTGACGATTTACGATATACTATTGGAATGATTCTTTTTTAATGAACGTTATTTTATAAATAACAAATACGATAGAAATGAACATCGTTCACATTTATTTTATAAATTCTATATTGCATCTTCAGGTGTTAAAAAATCAATTCATTTAACTTGGATGTTTGGTACTACAGGGCAAAGGGATTAGACAGGGTCGTAAATTTCACCTGATTAAGTAATTGACTCTAATCAAATAGGTGATTATATACAGGTAACAAGTGTCAACAATTTTAATCTGTAGTCTTAATGAAGTGTGTGTATAAAGAACTCAACAAAATGGCGACGATATGAGGAAAAAAGATCGTTTTTTAAACTTTTTTCAAAAGGGCACAGAGGGGCGCATCAGAAGGGCAGAGGGGCGCAAAATTTCGGGGGCGGGGCGCGGCGCCCCTCCATTTCATGCTAGCTGGAACACTGCTGTACATTGAAAGCCATTCACTTAAGAGTTTTAATTTCATGAATGCAATCTTTACCCCAAAAATGCAAGAAATACCCATGCAGTCGATCTGTAACATTTTAGTTAACCACTAAATTTGACCAGACTTGTTGCAAAATGTTACATCTACAAGTCATCTGTACTGTGTTCCATGATACTTATTTGTTTATGTTCAATCTGTTTCAGATTTTCATCCCAATACAGAATTTAAGCGATCTTCCAAACAACACGACTGTTCAACAGAAATCAAATAAAATGAAAACAACATAATTACCATAGCAGACAACAAATTCTGTATATTTTTGGGTTCACTCTGTGTGAATACCTGACTTGTTTGATTAACAGCTTTAGCCAGAGTGTCAAACGCTTTGGCGACCGAGCTTTGAGCTGGACCAGAAGATGAGCTGATAGGGATCGGGATCTGTGGCTGTTGTTGAGAGAGATTCTGATCTTGATTTTCTTCATTATTTTTACCCATTGTAGCTAAAGTTGTCACAACATTAGCAAGGGTGCTCAGATCTGCAAAAAAAAATTTTCATGTTTTAAATATTACTTTGTTACTACAATTTTAAATACATTGTGTAGCTCACATTGTAAAAAAGATGTGTGTATGCATTTATATTATGAGTAACTAAAACTTAACCACATATAGCTGGTGGTCTGATATATAAAGTTTTGTGATAGTGATTCCTAATAATGTAGCTACTATTTAAGGCTGATTATGATCCTTAATTGGCTTTCTCTCTCTTCAAATCATTAGAATCAGATGGGGTGGTACCTGTTCAAAGAAGCATGTGACGAGTTCAACCTTGTTAAAAACAAATTTATCCTTCAACTATTCATTTGATGTTTCTGTAGAACAAAGTTATATCATATTTAAGCTTGAACAACACTGTCTTTGATTATAAACTATTTTCTGCTCTTTAGTCAGGTTGTTGTCTCTTTGACACATTCCCCATTTCCATTCTCAATTTTATTGTTTTCACAGAGAAATACAGTCGAACCTCGTTGTGTCGAACTCGGTTGTGTCAAAAACTCGGATGAGTCGAAGTAAATTCTTGGTCCCGGTAAACTTCCCGTTTGCTCAATGCATAATTATCTCTGATGAGTCGAACTAGGTTGATTCGAATAATAGGTTAAGTCGAGTAAATTTTATAGTCCCGTCGATGTAAAATTAATGTAAATTGACCTCGATGTCTCGAAGTTCGAAAGTAAGCATTTTCAAAAGATACAAACCTAATGATAAAAATTAAAATCGGATGTATTTCTTATGTAACCTAATCATTTTCAAAAGAGATTAAAACTGAGTAAACATACTTGTTTATATAACAGTTAAAATGACATGTTTATGCCATTTTATGGTGACCAGTAATTAACACATTTGTTGATCGTTCAAGCGAAACGTTGGTGTGTTGAACATATTTCACCTGCCATAAGAACGAAACAAATTTAAATGAACCAAGCCGAGATTAAATGATTAGTTTCAATTAAAACTCATTAATTACAATAAATAAAAGGATTAAGACAATAATGTTAAATTTATAATATTTTAATGCAAAGTAGACGACCTCACCAGAGATTCAACACTTGTTCGTTCCGCGAGTGATTTCATAATTTATAGTGACTGACCTTTGTAAATATTTTATTTGTGCATTATTTGTATCTCTACTTGTGTGTTTAATTATTATGAAGGATAAAAAAATATGGAGATTGAATACACAATCATAAAATGTCATATTGAAAAAAGGCACACTGTTCAAAGTATCTAGTTTACACTAATCTCATACCGTATCTCATGCATTCCAAATTTATGACGACACATTGGACCTCGGATGAGTCGATCCTCGTTTAGGTCGAATACTTTGGTTCGGTCCCTTCGACTTCGACACAACAAGGTTCGACTGTACATGTAAATAAAGCAGATTAATGGTATGGCAAATAGTATTTTACTGTACAGAGAATAGATACTTTTTGCTTTTCAATGCCTTGGGGGTACATATATCCAGTGGTGATACTACAGTAATTTTATAGCAAGGCAAATTGAAACCTCCTCTTTATTTCACATGACAGCTCCGACTTGCCATTACACATTACAATGGCCTACCTAAGTGTTCTCCTCACAAATTTCATATAGCATCCTGGTAAACAGGGATTTAGAAAAAGCATCTTGTTTCTAGAAAAAACTGTAAATTCAGAAATTTGGATAGTATTTATTTTGGGGATTGTTGAAAAATGGCAAGATTAATTATTTCTATTTCAGCATATTTAGGAAATGATGCATATAAATAATGCTATCAAATTCAGGTTTTTATTTTTTAGAAAACATATCCAGTTGCAATTTCTGCAATAATAAAAACATCAAAAATATTCTGAATATACAGTTGAGCATTACATCCAATCCATAACACAATATATAAGAAATTCCTTCCATATTACCATGATGCTCAAATGGCATTGGGAGTACACTGGTCCCATAACTCCATGACAGTTAGAAGACAGGAAAACTATGCCATGATACAACAATTGAAAATCCTATTAAAACACTATGTAAAGACGGTATTTTGAAATGGTCTGATTTAACCCCATTATTACTGTCCCATTTTCTGATAGACAAACCAAGGTTTTAATTAAACCTCAGAGCATATCAAACTGTAATACATTTTTTTAAATTTTGCAGTTAGTCAGTCAGGGATATAACTCTATAGGGTTATTACAGAAAATAACATGCATGTGTTATTACAGATACTTTTATGAGTTGTCTACTCTTTAATCCTTAAATTTACTAAATCTGTAATAACATATGTTTGTTATTTGTAAAATTAATTTTTATTTTTAGTGGGCTCTAGGGAACTCTTGAAACTTTGCGCAGAAACTAAATGCATAGCCTTGATAACTAACTATTAATTTAGATTAATACATTTTTCATTAACCATGGTAAATCAATGAGACAAGGCTTTTAAGTGATTAACTTAGCTGTAATAACAAGGCTTAGTTATTAAAGGCATGTAACTTATTAAATGAGACACTTGGGAATTAGTGGGAAGCTTGCGCAGAACCTCATTACATGCTCTGATCATTACTTCTTACAATAAATTCAAATACATTGTAATTGAACATGATCTATGTCTGAGCAAATGCTTTGAAGTGATGTAGAGAAGCTGTAATAACACCCTTTAGTTATTACAGGCATATTTGTTCTGTAATAACATAGGTGTGATATGCATGATTGGCAAACTATGAACTGTTATATCTTTCTATAGTTAAGTATACATAAAGACAGTAGCAATATCAATAGGACTTGTATACATTTTAACAAAACTAATGATGTATATTGTCCCCTTGAAACATGTAACATACATATGTTATCACAGTTCTTTAATTTTTTTGTCCACAATAACAAGCATATGTTATTTTTCTCTAATAACCCTATAGAGTTATATCCTTGACTGTTAGTATTCAGTTGAAATAATCATATAATCTTTTATACTTTATTTATTCCTTCTCTACCTGTATTGGCAGTAGTTGGGACAGCTTGACTTGACCCCAGCAAGACTGTCCCGTGCTCTGTCTCCACGATCCTTTCCTGTAGGTTGGCCAATAAATTTGATGAGGCACTGTTATTCTGTTGCTGTTCTCCTTTGTACTCAAACTGTGTATACAAATATATATTTTTATAAATCTTAACTTTACATTATCATTATAGTTCTTTAGTAAAATTGTAAATTGATAAAAGCTTATTCTATTTTTTGTAAACTTCAGTTTTTCATGTTAACAAATATATGTAAGGGAAAAAGTGTAGTGGAATACCTTCTCTGTCATACTTGCTTGAAAAATTGTTTACCTGCTAATTTCATGCATTTATTGTAGAAGGCACAAGCTGTCTTTTAAAAACTCTTTTTGCTCATTAGTTCAAATATTCCTGATTGTTTTTTTAATGTAAAGTTAAATATGATCATAGAAATTGCTCAAGTGAAAGAAGTATGAGGTTGTGTGTCATTGTTGATGATTGGCTATGACCATTATATCCCATCTGTAAAGATTGTATGTGATATAGAACAGAAGTCAATATTTGAATATTCATGTCTATAGCAATTTATTTACATTCTGAACACTCGTCTTCCAAACAGCTAATGAGAAGGGTTAGTTAAAACCAGAGTGAATCAAAATGTAATTTTTTCTTGACAACCGTCTGGTTTAACGTATACTCGATTTAATGAAGAAGATACAAGAAAAATTTGCCCAATTTGAAATAATAATTATGATTTATCTCAGAAATATTTACCTTAGGACTGAAAACAGGAACAGAGGCTGAATTACTGGTAAAATCTTTACGAATATAAATCTTCTGTGTAGAGGTGGAAACAGCCATTGGTGGTCTGATATCTTTTTCAGGTGGAGGTTTTCTCTCTTGCTGGACAGCTATAATTAAAGAAAAAACTAATAAAAATTTAACCTATCATTTCAGAGTCAAAAGCAATGTAATAATAAAAGAAGAATATATTCATAGGATACAGATGCCCCTGCTTGTAAATATGCAAGAGTCAATGTACTTATTCAAACCTATTGACATTTTATTTTCTTTGAAACTAAATGACATTTTCTAATAAATGTTGTCATTAGAGATTGCTCAGGAGGAGGGTACAAAACAGCAAATTTGACAATCTTCCATTTATAAAGGGACATAACACAAGAGCAGTCACTAGTAACTGTTTTTATTACTGAAACGGTCATTTTAAACTGAACAACTCTTAATTGCCTGAATTAACCGCAAGGAAAAATGTCAAGATCTTTTTCAGTTATTCAGTACGTGTTCAGTACCCTGATCCGCGCGGGAAATCCAGTACAGTTCAGTACTGACTCAGGTAATTAAGAGAAAACGCATTGCATTCGATCCAGTAGCGTCAAGAACGTTTTCGTACAAATCAGTACATCGATAAAATAGTTGTCTGGGAATTTTCAGTACTGTTCAGTGCCAGGTAAATCTTCCGATTTTGACATAAAATAGTTTGTGCAGATTTATAAGGTTTGTCTCCCTTCATTCGCGCTTGGACTCTAATTTTCAGTACATCAATGATATTGATTTCTTTCCGTGAAAATTACTTCTGCTTTGTTTAATTGTCCAAAAATGAAATATGTTTGAAAGTTAAATGGTTATAAATTACAATGTGGTTAATATAAATTACAATGAAAATGAAATCTGATGTCGGAATTGCGTATTTTTTGTACTAATCTTTAATTTAACGACGGAGGCGGCTTTTGAATAAATGCAAACCTTTAAGCTCAGTACAATTCGGGTTCTACAATTTTAGAACTGTATATAAATAAATCTATAATTGTAAATATCAATTTTCTCTGTGACTATATAAATTTCATTCATTCACTTTTCAATTATATTTGTTTTATGTTTATTCGAGTACATGGTCATTAAATTTAAGTATATAAATCTGTTAAATGTGACCCATTAAATCAGCCCCATTATAAATATTGCAAATACGTCATAAAAACTTCAACTTGATTTAGAGTTTGACCCTATATGAATCTGTGAACAAATCAATCTATGACATATGATAAAAAATAAATATATAATACTAAAACTGTCCAAGACATTTTTGTATCAACTTGTATATATAAAGATATAAAAAAATGAGGAAGACATTATGCACGTAATCGTAATCCCATTAAAAATATATTCAAAACACAGATTATATAATAAGTGGAACAAATTTGTATGTATGTATTTTTTCTCATTACACTATGATTCTTTTAAACAACTAAAAGATCTTTCATAATAAAAAATCAAAAAAGTTATCAAAAATTCCTGAAACAAATACTTACCATAAAAAATGCAAGACATGTGAGAGGGTTTTTGATGTGGGTTTGCAGAATAGAGAATAAGAATGTACGAATATAAAGAATGAAGAAAACTCGACAAAAAAATTAAGAAAAGAGAATAATGAGGTGCTAAAACTAAAAAAATAGAGAACAATGGACAAAAAATATAAAGAAAAAAGAAAAACGGCCTTTGAATTGGTCTCTGCTGGAAAGTTTCTCCTTGGCAATCATACCTAGCCTTATTCAAAATGCTCTTAGTCCTCTAAAAGGACTTGAAGAGCATTTTGAAATTGAATTTTGTTTATTTTTCTACTAATTTGTCTATTACTGTGCTGTGTATATTATAATTATGTATTTTACTTTAGATGCAACCAGTTAGGATTGAATCCTATATAAATCCTTGAATCGATAGTATAACACTCTTATAGTAAAATCAGGTAAGAAATACAGGGGAGATGTAGATGGCTATTGATCGCGATCGTTAATAAAATTTCATGTTTCTTGCGATCTATAAATATGACATTGTAGCATATAACATCGTCTAACCAAATACGTTCTCTGAAATAAATTATAACCCCCCCCCCCCCCCCCCTCCCCCATGCAGTCCTTTTTTAAAAAAATCCTTGATCCGCCCCTAAAATTGAATTCGTATGATTATTCCTATAGATGTATTACATGTAAGTTTTTTTACTCGACCCAAACACCCAAGATACCTAAATGAATATACACATTTCTTCATAAATAGTTTTTTATTTTTTCGTTTATACTGCAAGATCTCGGAAGTTTTGTTATTTTCTTGTCGGTGGACGAACGAACTGGTTGATAGTTGTCTCCTAGCTACCACATCTTCTTATTTATATTTAGAATAAGTCTGTCAATGCTAGTGGCCGTTTATAATGATTAACAATATTAATAGATAAATTTTCAGTATAAATAACCAACATATATCTTTTGTTTCAAGCTATCTGTTTATTTTCTCCTTGCAATGAGTATGATTTGTTCTTTTAAGTGAAAATTACATAAAAATAGCATTTTTGAGGATTTACTTGGCAGTTATGTTGTTCAAATAGGTAAACCAATGTCCGGTATTTAAATTTTAACTGAGCAAATAGACTTTATCTATAATAATGTTTTTTTTATCCCGAAATGCATTGTGAATTTAAGAATATATTGGGTGTACATCAATATGACAGCAACTCTACGACAACAATATCTAGAAGACATTTTAAGACCATTAACATAAGGCTTTAACAGTAGACAGGTGTACCGGTATAATGTATATATATATAAAACAGTCAAGAATTAATTAAACAGAAACAATCAAAGATCTTATACATTCGTCCTGAACATGCATGAAATAGTTGCCACTGTACGTTAAGCAATTATCAACCAATCATAGATAGTATAAACCAAATTATTATATGCCGCATATTTAAACGAAAATCCTATGTCTCGAATTTATGTGCATTCCTTGCATTGTGCATATTTGATTGTAACACGATAACACGTTTTAAAACTGTCTTTATTAAACACCCCCCCCCATTTGTAGATAAATTGTATCTTTTTTAATCTTTAAAAAAATGTCCTTACAGAGTTCAAATAGTCAGTCTGGAAGAATCAAACGTGTTTGGTAATGGGTTAAAATCAGAATAAAATGTGCAAAAATGTATATAGCTTATAGATATATATATATATAGGGAGATAGTGTCATGTGACAGAAGTAACAGAACGTGTTCTTTTTGCCAGAATGGACATATCGGAAACGAATATCACGAATTTCTTGTTTTCCCGGCTTTAGAAGATGAAAGTAAAAAATTGAGTGATACCAAACAAACTAATGTAGCAGACATAATGTTTTAAAATACAAGACACTGTTGAACTCTAAAAACAATTTCATAAGATGTATACACAGTAAAACTACTCCTTCTTCTAGACCATAATTTCAACATATTTAAACACTGAAACTATTTCTTTAAACATCTTAATTTGCTTTATTTGTTTGCTAATATTTTTATTTATTTTATCTACTTTTATTTATTTTATCTTTTTTTTTTTAATATTTTATCATGTTATGACATCTGTTATTTTGTATACATGTTTTAATGGAAAAAAAACTATATCTATCTGTACATTAGCATTGATTCTTTTAAAATTAAAAGTTAAAAGCTATATACATGTATACACAGATAACTTACAGCTGAATGTATTAAACATGTGGTCATAGCCGGAGATGGACTTCCTGTGTATATGTGATAGGAATGGCAATTACCGTTTTTGTTAATTTGTTAAGACGACAGTCGTACGTGTATAGAGTCAGGGACACGTGTATATGTGTCTCCAAAGCTTGGTAGCACACTTGATAGAGTGAACCGACACGGATCACCAATTAAACACCGAACACCTAGACATGGTCAACTGCAGTATTCGAAAAATTAAAAAAAAGTCTTAATCGATATACAGCACTTGGATTACTTTATATCGTGTTTCTTTGTTATATTTATCGTTAGCTATATTTAACATATTAAATCATTGGAATATGAATTTGACTATGTATAGGTCCTCTCAGAGACGAATGTAGGACAGAAAGTCACAGGACAAAAAGTCACGGACAAAAAGTCACAGGACAAAAAGTCACAATTCAGTTTAAGATTGTTTTTCTTTGAACAAGAAAAAACTAATTTAAAAAGAAATATTTTGTTTAATTTTTATAAAGCAACTTTGTAATTAAAATTTATGCAATAAATATTAATAATGATCAAATAATTGCTATGAAAACAAAATGTCAAAGAGGCTTGATCCTTAAATAGCTTCATGGTGCCAAGAAATATATCCTTTGCACGATAAAATTTAATAAATTTTCATTTATCAAGGCTTATGAACAATTTCCTAAACTTAAAAATGAATATATGTAATAAAAAGAAAATATTTCAAGATCTTTCTCTTATATATTCAAACAATTGTCAACAAACTATTTGTGACTTTTTGTCCTGTGACTTTTTGTCCTATCAATTTTGTGACTTTATGTCCTGTAACTTTTTGTCCTGTGACTTTCTGTCCGTTTACCCTCAGTGACATATACAAGTATATACGGTGACCTATATTTTTTTTTTATTTCTGTGTCATCTGGTCTCTTGCGGAGAGTTGTCTCATTTTGGCATAACGTGCATTTTCTAATTTATTAGTCCTCTTTTCTTTTCATATAGCTTTGTTATTTCCAAGAACGGGATATAAGTGTTTTATATTATTCAATATCATTTCAGGTGACTTATAGGTCCATTGGGCCGGGTGTATTAATATTTTTCAAATATTATATGTTTATAATCTGTACATATTTACACATGTCACACAGGCACGCAAACTGTAAACCACAATTTGGCAATACTCCGTATAAAAAAAATAGGAGCAAGAGCTCACTATATGAACGCTCACATACGGTTCTTGTTATACTATCGTGCACACAATTTTGAGAATGAAAATATGTTTTGATACTTTAACTTGTTGGACTTATTAATATGCATTCAATTGTTGACCTTGGCAATGTCTCTGTTTGGATTGAACCAGAAATACAATCATATCTTTACTTCGGA